CCCCAAAACCCCAAAACCCCAAAACCCCAAAACCCCATTACTTGGTTTAGCAATTGAATAGCCTCGGGATTCAAATTTAAACTTAGTGTTATTAATTTAGAAATTTTGAGATATGGAAGTGGAATGAAGCTAGGATGTCTGGAAAGAAGAGTTTTAGAGGAGAATAAAGGAGTTTAGGGAAAGGGAAAAGTGAGGGAGATGAGGGAAAGGAGATAGAATAGTGAGTTTATGTTGAACGGAGAAGGTTTAGGGGGTAATTCTGTGTTTTTGGAGGGAAATTAGAGTTTTGAGATATGGGTATGAGTGGAGTTTGAATAGGATTTAATGGGATGGGGTATTTTATGAGATATATCGAGATTCACTCAGCATTTCAAGCAGTTAGATTATTTACTATTAACTTCAGAAAAGCTAAAATTTTGAAAGATTGTCTGTCTTCTCTGAAATCCGGATATCTTCCTTTTAAAATTTACTCATAACTCTCTAAAAATCCAAGCCAGATCAACTAAACAAGTCTTCATCTGACAGAGCTTCCACCCTTAATGAGAGAAACTCTTTAATGAATATTCCTGTGTACAAAACAAAAATATCCATATTCCAACCCCTTCAATAATCTCATCCCAAAATTTGTCTAAAATTCCAAAAACTCTCTTCTCTCAAATCTGAGATGCTCTACACTTTAATACACCAATTTTCTCAATTTAAAAACTGTTCATAAATTAATAATTGAGCTTCATACTCTTAAACCCTCTTAGCCAGGGTGCCTAAAGCACTAAAAACTGGCTGCAGCCATCTGTCTTGCTCGAAAGCTCTCTCAGGTCCTAACAAAGCTGAAGCTAGAGGAGCCCTGGACTTATCCCAGGCAGTTTCTTTAGGTTAGCCATGCATACTACAACTCTAGGTCCTAACATGAGAAGGCTGCTCTGGTCTAAAGACTAGAGATTCTAAACTCCACAACTTAGATTTGAAAGTTTTTGGCTTAAATTTATGTTAAATTTTGGAGTTTTAGGTTGAAATTTTGACAATAGAATCATAAGCAATACAAAAAGTGTATTAAATTACTGTGTGGAAGTACCAAAATTTTCTGAATCTAATGCAGGATTTAGCTAGATCTTCAATGACGATCAAATATGTCCTTTAATAAAAATTCTAAATTCTTCCAAAACCCAAGTGAATCTTGTTCAATAGAATTCTGGACTTTTTGCCTGAGACTTGTAGATGTTCCAGACTAAGACATATAGCAGCTTAGGACCTTATACCCAAAAATATGTCAGAACATTGAGATTCTAAGTATTCTAGAACGTAATATTCAGCTTCCATTTTAGAGAAAATTAATTGCGGAATTATCAAAGTTGCCAGTTCACCAATGGAATCACCCAAAAACTTAGAGATGAGTTTGAATATCTTCAGAAAAAGCCTTTGGTTTTAGCACTAACTAGCAAACTAATGGATCATGTAGATTGAAATGCCAAAATTAAAATTGCCACATCTTGACTTGTTTAGTTGTTCGGTGAACAACTGAGAAAATTAAAAGATTGAGGCTAAAACCATTATTAGCTACTAATAGAGTTACTAATCCCTAGCCTTCATTTAGGAATAGCTGGGCTTTTATGATGGGGTGATCTTGTCAATGAATTCATCAGCCCATTGTTGAGCAACCTCTTCTGGAGTTCCGCTTCTCTTAGCAATTTCCTTAGAGAACTGAACGGCTTCGTCTCTAGGAAGATTCTCTGAGATTCCTAGTTCAAGTGCAACACAAGCAAATTGCTTAGTAGTAATTGAGGTACCAGCAATGGTGGTCAAGCATAGCTCTGCGACTTCTCTTCCCTCGAATCCTAGTCCTCTTGCCTGATCTCTTGCTTCGTTCCATTCCTTATGAATATCAGCGCCTTCTCCACATGGAGTCTCGTCTTCAGGTAGAGTTTCAATTACATATTGTGGAACATAAACTTCTTCAGCCATTGGAGGATATCCAGGAGAGTAAATAGTCTCAACAGTAGGAGCAATCAATGGATCTGTGTAAACTGGAGTCTCACTGCTGTTCTGAAGGTGGTATGGAACTCTCTCCACCATTGGAACAAAAGGCTCTTGGATAACCTCGATGGCTGGTTCAACAAATGGAACACGTTGTCCGTAAGGGTAGTTACCATATGCGTTACGGAATGGAACAGGGCCACCAGCTCTGAAGTTACCGTAATCAAGTCTCTGATAAGGATACTCTCTAACTGGGAATTGGCAGAACACTCCAATCAATAGGAAGGCCAAGATCAAGGTTGACTTCATTTTTATTTAAAATAAAATATTACAAATCTTTCATGAACTTTGTTCATAAGGGGTTTTGGGGTTTTGGGGTTTTGGGGTTTTGGG